TAAAATCATTGAATGCTGAAGTGTTTTTTAATCTATATGATTCCGTTTTTGCAGTAATTGATCCTTCCTCTTTGTTTCCAACTTGTGTTTCAATCATCAGTGATTATCAATGCATCTTGATTGCATGTTTGATCAATTTCAGTGGTTGGTGCATAAATTTGAATAATAATCATATTACTTGGTCGTCCTTAGACGCATATAGATATCATTCTGTCATTTGTTACCTCTAGTAAGTGTTCATGCCCTGGAGCAGCAAAGCCAAATTCACCCAAGCTGAGAGAAATAGAGAAGTTTTATTAGAATATAGCACCCACAGGTATTCTGATTGCTATGCAGGATGTCTTAATGGAATTCCTTTGTGATCAAAATACATGAAGCTTAAATACTTTTACACTAGAATGCACCCTGGAGGAGTCATGTACTTTTCCAGGTACTTTCCATTACTCAAGTCACAGGATAATCATTAAGATGTAAATGTCAATCATAACAGTCAGAAGAAATAATATGAGTAGCATTTGTCACAAACCTTCTTCAATGTCCTAACTACCTCCAGGCAGAACTGTGTAGACAGTCCCATACAATATACTTGTCCTTGAGCAATACAGAAAGTTATAGAAATTCCACAGAGGCTAGGGTAAAAAAAACAAGGCAAAAATATGTGAGTTGTTGTTGTTAAGTGCTGTTGAGTGGATTCTGACCCATAGCGACCCTTTATTTAGGCTAGCTAAAAATGAAGTTGTTTATTGTTGTTAAGTGTCACTGAGTGGACTCTGACTCATAGTGACCCTTATAGAGTTTCCAGGAAGTGACTGGTGTGCTTAAATCACTGACCTTGCAGTTCAAACTGACTTTGCAGTCCAGTGCATTATCCTACAGCGCCGCACATGCTGGATGATAGTAGTTTAATAGGTTACACACTGACCGCATTGTACTTCAGAAGAGATCTTGAAATATTCTTTTTGATGATGAATGTGACACCATTCCTTTTCACTTAATCATTCCCATCGTAGTAAACTGTATGATTGTCTAATTCAAAATGGTCAATACCAGTACATTTCAGTTCGTTAATGCTTAGAATATCAAAGTTGATCTGTTTCGTTTTGGTTTTGATGACTTTAAATTTTCATAGAGTACATTCTACACTCAGATTATTAATGGGTGCTTGCAGCTGTTTCATCTTATTTGGAGTTGTGCCACACCAACAAGTAAAGGTCCTGAAAGCTTTGCTCCATCAAAGTCATTAAGATCAACCCTACTTAGAGAAGGCAATCCTTCCCCAAATGTATTTTGAATGCCTTCCAACCTGAGGGGCCTGGTGCCTAGGGGACAGGTGTGTCATTGTGAGACTGCAGCTGCAATCCTTGCCATGGTCCAGATAGATGGTAATCTCTGATCCACTGGAATTATAACACCTTGTAAAGGAGTTTTCACTGGCTGAAGTAACCTCCAGGGAGTTAAGAATAAACTGCAGGACTTCCGACATGATGGCATATTAGGCAGATGTGTTACATACAGAGTCTACAACAAAGATACAGATGATAATACTGGAAGCCTAAGGTACAGAGGAAAAATTAGAGGAGATTGAATACTCAACTGGGAAAAGAAGCTGAATAAAGGCAATGAAGGAAGGAGACATACTGGTGAACACTCTGTAGACCAAATGTGATGTGACCATCTTGAACTTTTATGGGCAGCTTTGGAGACACATGGCAGACTGGAGACAAAGATTCACACCATTTATTGGCAACAGGAAAGGAGACAGAAACTGTCCCCATACAGTCCAGACACAATGGCACCCGCTGCACCTTCACCCACTGTGCAAGACTCATGAACTGTCAGAACAAAAAGATCTGTGTTGGAAGAAGTACAGCCAGAATGCTCCTTAAAAGTCAGCATGGCAAGACTTCATCTCTCATAATTCAAAATATTGCCAGAAGGGATCAGTCCCTAAAAAAGGATATTATGTTTGGTAAAGTGGAGGGTCAGCAAAAAAGAGGAATACTCCCAATGAGATGAATTGGCACAGTGGCAGCAGCAATGGATGCAAGCGTAAAAATTGTGGGGATGGTGCGGCACCAGGCAGTGTTTCTTTCTATTGTGTATAGGGTCGATATGAGTCAGAATAGACTTGACCTAACCAATGCCTAACAACAACAAAGTAAAACAAACCTTTGTTGTTAAGTGCCATCGAGTAGGTTCTGACTCATTTGTTGTTGTTGTTAAGTGCCGTGGAGTCCATTTTGACCCATAGTGACCCTGTATAAGATTCCCAAGGAGCAGCTGG